AAGCATAACAATGTATTTAGAGGACGCCACACCCACATATTTTGTCGATTTCGTCTTCACAACACGTAACATACCTAGGTAACAGATTTACGTTGATAAATTCATGTTTAGTCGCGTTCATTTTGTTTGTGTTTTTTTTTTCCGATATTTGAATTAGCAGGTAGTAAAAGTGGGTAAAATGTTATGTACAAAAATGATCAAAATACTTGCTTCAAATTCAAATATCGAAAAAACCTTTGAAAAAACATAAACAATGTTGTTCTGCTTAAGTTTTATATTAATACATTAGGTCAGTCCAATCTAAAACCTATACAAAATTTAGGAAAAACAAAACGTGATTTGTTCAACTTTAACTTAAATTTGGTTGTGTTACGGAGGCTGGTACTGAATTGGTTCCAGAGCCTAAATTTCACATGCCGAATTAGTACCCGTTTGAAAAAGGTATTCTATTAAGTTAGGTTTAGGACTATCAACTTCAAAGTAGATTTGCAGGTTGAAAATGTGCGTTAATGTGTGTTAAAAAAATATATAAYAAATACAATTTAATATCGTTGATCGGCAATACATTTAAAGGAAACTTTCTTTAAATATTTAATTCACATAAGCTTCTCATCAATACTTAGCCATACATGCAGTTCTAAAGGTATTAGTTATTTTTTTCTTGTTTGGTAGTAAGTTATAAGTACAATTATCTCAACTGTATTCTTAACCGATCGGAGTATCAGCGATAATTTGTTAAAATTCCAAATATTCCAATACAATAATCTATTTACATTATTATTGCATAATATTTATTGTATATTATGCTGAATGTWGAGCGTGGGTACATTTATATTTTATACTATCTAATTTATATTTTGTATCAAAWATTAAAAATTATAATTTTAACTATTTCACCTAAACACAAATCGGAATCAATTCGGCTATATCTAATAAAGTAATTAAACGCTTTTTTTAAACGGTAACCAAATTGGAACCTATATGGTTACTCCCGTTACGCATCACTTGTAACATGGAGTCACGGAGATAATAAAAATAAAGCAGGGCATACTTTTGATATTATTATATTAATAATTTAGAATACGGCGGTCTTTCATTGCTTTTGTATATTAGAATTTAGCTATTTAATTAATATCTATTTTAGAAATTTAATACTGTAATACCACAAAATAAATATTCAATTATTCATAAATCTATATATTAGGATATTAACCAATAGCCATAATATGCACATTGATAGATATAACACTATTGATTTTAAACAGATTTTGTTCTAAAAAAAATACCTACCACGCTTCAATTGTAAGTAATGTGCATAGCTGCCGAGTTTTTATTTGATCAATAAAAAAAWAATAATAATAATATTTCAATGATATAAATAACTCATAATGTTATGTATAATTTATAATAATGATACATTTTAACATGAAAGTATCATGGACTTTGATTTATTTTTATAAATATTAAATATAATTATGATTATTT